TCTGCTGCACAGAGTTTTAAAGCATTTCTCTTTAAATGATTTCTAAATTTGCATCCATGTGTGCAAATTAGCAGATGCACATTTTATGCAAGTCAGTGTCCTCTTTCAGCATCTTCTATGGTGATGCATTTCTTTTAAGACTTCCTATTCTCTGGACTTTTCACTTGAATGAACAGGCCACAGCTCAGACAATATTCTAATACTGAACGCTATCACTGAGGCCATACTTATAGAACTCAGCTAGAGAAACATTTAATTGGTTAAACAGATCTCAGTAATTGGGCAGCATTTCTGTCATCCTTTAAGATCACTGCTGTGGCCTCCCAACATTGCCTGAGGGACCAGAGTATGACTCAGAGACCTAGCTCTGAGTTTTTCTGACCTTGGAGCTGGGACTCCAAAAGTTGAATCTCCCCCCACCCCCCCACACCAGCTGCTTCTCCAAGGTTGCAAATCTGCCTCAAGGAGGTGGAAGAAGGGAGAGGAGACTGAGCCCAACAGCTTGCATTCTATGTAAGCAGTACCCAGGCCTCTCATCTCCCCATCTGCTGGAGATAAAATTCAGAGTGCAAAGATTGCTTGACTTGTACCATAAGTTGGATGTTGCATAAGCCTCTGAGATCAGAAACCTGTGTGTATTTAGGATGGAGGGCATTGGATTGTGTCTTAAATTGCTTTTGTGCTGCATTAAAAGGAGAGTAATGATGGGAAAGAAGTGATTTTATTGCAGACAGGCAACAAGCTCTGTGAAGTTCACTTGCCTTATCTATGAAAGGTAAGCTAATGAAAGTTGTTCAGAAAAGAATAACAGAATGCTTGTGGTATGAATAGAGGAGGCAAAGCATCGCTCTTCTTCAATTGTCTTCTGTTTCCCGGTCAGATAGTCAAATGGCCATCACACCTGCCTCCTTGTGTGTCCTTCAGCCCAGTAATAAGCCTCCTTTCGGACAGCTGAGGAGCACATACATCGTTTCAAACTAGTTGTACAGCATGTGTGATTCTGTATTCACAGCTGCATCATGCATCAGGTGGCCTGTAAAATTTGGGAGGATATTTGCTTATCTTGAATACTGTTGATTCCTATTAGTGTGAAGGGAATGTGGGAAAGAGTAAAACACAGTGCAAATATCAATGGTATGTGAGCTAATATGCTTCTTCCATATATAATTTTCAGTAATGCAACCCTAATGTCTCGTTAAAGAGCAGAAAATCAGTCCTGGTGTTCTCAATTTAGATGTTAATTGCTTTTTATCACACTGGGAGAAGCCTTTTAAAATGCTTTCCAACCTTCACACAACACTGTAAACTGTTGTTCTCAATGAGCGTACTATGTTTAACATAGTTACAGATATGTATAATATACTTAGTTTTCCAGGAATGTTTCTGTGTCACTTTTCAAAATAATAGCAAGCTTATTATTGGCTGTATTACTTTGCTTTCCTCTGTGCTTTTGAGTGTCTATCCTAAGAGCCATACATCAAGCTGCAGAAGCTATTTTTTTCAGCCACGGCATCTGGTATCTTGGCACAATCCAAAATCCTTTCAGGCAGTTTTGGAATTGGCCGACTATAGATTTGTTGCATTTTTTCCTTGCTGATAGGTTGTCGCCACATTTCATATGCTGCTTTTTCCTTGGCCAGATAAGTATCAGTGCTGAGGAATTCAGTAAATACAGACCCAGTACAGTTAAGATGCTTGGTTTAAATTAGTCTTTTATTAACTATGCGGTGTTTGAAAGAAGCAACTTTTTAGAAATTGAATGCTTTTTGTAACTCATGCTTTAGGAAATACTAACAGGAAAGTAAATTATTGTTGTGTTTGAGACAGCTTTACCCTGACATACTGGCAAAATGCAGTGAGTAATCCTTTCTGTTAGAGTAGTACAAGTAATATGGTTGAAGAAGATGCTTTCTCAGTTGAGTTTTTGCTGCATCTTCATGCTGGATGTGCTATTTAAAAAGAGAAGTAGAGATGTAGAATACATTTCTAGCAGTTGGTATCTATTGCCACAGAGTCCCAAGGTGATTTCCAGTAAAGTTTCAACATTGTTATTGCGAAGCAAAAATTTCTAAGTAATAGTTCTGTGCAGTGACTTCTTCGGAGCAGATGAAATCAGCCAGTCACTTGCTCTACTGATCCATGGCTTCTCTCTTAGTTATAGGCTTTTCCAGCTGTAGATGTAATTCTGTAGACAGCAGGAATCTATTTAAAATGCCCCAACCTACCTCATGCTAGACCTCTGAAACCAGGACAGATCGAAGCATCAGCTGAGTGTCCTCTGAGCAGGTTTCCAACCCTGCTATCATGTGCTTATTTTCCTACCTTAAGAGGAAAACAGCCCCACAAATACCCAGTGGGGGTTATTTTTAAGACAAGAAGGAGTTAGAGGTGGCTGTTGCTTTCTGAGGAGCCAACAAGTTGCAATAATTAATGCAAATCAAAACTATTTAAAGGGCTGAAGCTCTTCTCAGATCTCCCACCACCTCCAGTTTTCAGAGGAGAGCAGAGGAAATTTCTAACAAGCTTTAGAGAGAGTGTAGCAAATTGGTCTTCAATTGCTGGTCAATTTTCCATGGTTACTTAAAATTTGGCAGTTCCATCTATATTCCCTCTGGGAATTTTGGAGGGGTGAGGACCACTTAAAAATGTACGTTATAACAATTAGGATGTAAGCACATCAGATCAAAAGTCCAGTTAATCCACCATTCTGTTCACACTGACCAACCAAATGCCTTACAGAAGTGAGATCAACGTTGACCTGTCCATTGTCACAGGCCTCAGAATACCAACAATTTCTGTTCAAAGAAATATCCTTTGAAATAATTATTGGATTATTAGGTTTTATTGTTGGGAATTGCCTTGCCCAGGGCCCTTGGGTAGAAAAGCGGGATATACATGAAATTTTAAAGGATAACAGAAGCACAACCTACAAAGAGTGACTAACCACACCAAACAGCAACAATATATATGGTTAATTGTTTTTATTAGATTGTTTCTGTATGTTGTTCTGCCTCCCTCTAGAGGGACATGTAGGTATTTTAGACAGTTCCCCATTCTGGCTATTCTTAATATTATAGAGACTTAAAAACCTCATTTGTTAAAAGGTTTGAACTGGTGGAGGCACGAAAAATATGTATACATGTCTCTTCTTCAGAGAGCAGCTTTTCATGTGGATAGTGCTCATTAAGAAGCAGCTTCAGCATGTGGCTGGTCTGAGGTACGATCGGAGGTGGGTCACTATTTGGGGATAAAAGTAGTAAGCTATTTTCTGACCACAGAAATCTGAGGTGGCTTAGCCTTGTGGTCAGGAGCTGCAGCATCTCAACAACTGAATATTTGAATATGGTCTTAATTAGCCCATTAACAAGAATTAAAACATTGTCTTAATTATCTTGCATCTAATGAAGTAGGCTCTTGCCTACTGCAGCTTATAGCGCTATCAATTATTGTTCAAGTCATTATGGACTGCTGTCCTTTTGGTGTTCCAGACTAACATGGGTGTTCTTTTGGAACCTCATTTATCAGCAGGGTTGTAACGTTATCAAATGTTTCTTTCTCAAGATAAATAAGATTCCTCTTGAGTTGAATAATGCTCTAAAGCTGGTGCATTAATATGCTTCTGCAGTGCCAATGTGTGAGATTTTATTTTACCTCTTCTTTTCTAGCCACATTCTCATTTTATAACTTAACTTGGACCTGTTCTATACATTGGTGTTAAAAGGTTTTCAGTGATGTGCTAAATGTGTTTCTTTTCATATATTTTGTAAAGTTGAAGGGAATTTTTTTGACAAACACAGTTGCACTAAAATTACAGTTGCTACTTTTATTATTTGCAACCATGCTTAAATATAACTCACCATAAGTATTTGCAAAGCTTACCCACTCTCCTCCTATTGAGATGTATCTTGGTTTCAAAACTAAATCTTAGTTTCAAAATTTCCTTTCCTGGCCTGGCCCAGGGAAAGCTGCTTAGACTGAATGTCCTTTCTCTGACTTTCCTCTTCTCCATCATGTATCATGCTTTTAAAAAGTTAGTTAGCTACCACTGCTCCCATAGAAATGTTGGGTTATGCCTAGTCAGACTATTGGTCCATCTGCTCCACTATTGACTTCTGGATCCTCCAAGGTCTCATCTTTCATGTCACATCCTGCTGGAGATGCTGGGGATTGAAGCTGGAGTCTTTTGCACATGAAGTGACTACAGTCTCGCCCTTACACAGCACAATTGTAAGCCCATAGAATATGTAGCAGCTGCTTAGGATCCTGGAGGCATTGTTTTATTCTAGAATTCTCACAGGCTTTCCCTTTCCTGCAGGATATGGATTCAAGCAATGCTGCTTGTTTTGGAATGCCTTTCAGATATCCTGATGAACAAACTAGCTAGAAGTGGGCTAGACTGAACAATTTTCAGGTGGATCCACAGTTGACTACAGAATCAGACTCAAAGAGAGTTTCTCCATTACACCTTTCAAAAGTGGGTTTGCACTGCTAAGGTTAACCATGGCAGGAGCCACCTGTGGTGGTGGTGGTGGTGGTAGTAAAGTGAATTGTGGTTTGTAGCCTCCTCCTCCCTTCCCTAGTGAGCCTGAATTAGCCAGAGTAGTTGATGAAGAGAGGTGGCCACAGCTTCTTCCTTCCCCAGCTCACTCGTTCTCCCTCTCTCTCTCTCCCCACTCCCTCTACATGTGTCTGTCTGTCTTTTCCTATCTCTTTCCCCCCTGAACCTCCAGTCAAAAGGCAAAAGGTAGCATACCCCTGAACATAATGTAGTCATCCACCACACAGTCAAATGGCCCTTGTTACAAAGAATCAGGAATATTAAGTCTACTGGGTGCGAGGGAGTTGGCAACTATTTTAAGAGGAAAAATCTGTTTATTTAAATACTTAAATGAGTTTTCCATTTCAGGAACAGGCAAAATATAAGAGAGCCTTTTTAGGACCAATAAAGAGTTTTGTGTCTTTTTATTTATTAAGTAAAAAATGTGTCTCTTCTTTTTCAGGATCCCAGAAGCAAGCACAAGTTCAAAATCCACACATATGGAAGCCCAACATTTTGTGACCATTGTGGGTCATTGCTTTATGGACTTCTGCACCAGGGGATGAAATGTGACAGTAAGCATGCTTTCCAGCCTGTTAAATCATATTCTTAAAAATTAATGAAACCTTTAGACACTGGCCAAATGCCTGGCAGGAAAATGTTATTTCAGTTAGTCTGAATTACAGGCATAATTGTCCATTTCGATTTAATATTTGAATACATTTAGCAAAATAGTGTAAATGAATGGAGCCTTCTCCAAGGTTGATTTGGCGGCAGCTAAATGTTAATGGAAACTTACTGGAAGAGAAAACTAGTACATTCAATCAGCATCTGGCCTGAAACATTGTGGTAAAAGTCTGAGTTTTAAAAAACATCATTATTAAATTGAACTTGTAGCCGCATATTCTTTTTATCCTCCCTGCCAGCCACTGCCGTCTTGATCATGTTTAAAATTGCATCTCTGATTATGGGCAGCAAGACAGAATTACATGGTATGAATCTTCTTGGATAGGAGATACAAACTGGTTTGTGACTTCCTCTAATAGCATCACCTGTTCCGAACTCTTGGATCTCAGCCTCATTTTCTGAGGAGAGCAAACCCTTGGTCAAAGCAGCTACCAGTTGGGAGGGCTGTACAACTGCAGTCACCATTTTGCCCACCTGAGAATGCTTTCTCCTAATGCAAAAGGGATGGGCACAACTCTAGACCGAGACAACAGTGCCAGCCGTGGTTGGAAAGCCGGGCTGGAGCTGTCCAAAGAACCACAGTGGTCAAGTGCTGAGGAGGACATTTTGCAGAAGAAATTTAGTTCCAACACAGTGACAAATCCCGAAGAAGGGATGCTATCACAAGGGTAAGCTGGTTTGCTTTTGTGTCTGTCATCATGATGCTGCAGGAGAAGTCATCATAAATGGAGGACTCGCACAGGGTGGTCCTATGTACCTTCAATCCCTGTCTTCCTGTGGCAACATACAAGCAGGGAGAATTTCTGGCTTGCTCCCTGCAAGTCCATTGCTGGAAATTGCCACTATAGACACCTTTTTTCAGAGGACCTCCACGCTTCACCTGTGATGCATTAGCAGTACCAGTGTACTCAGGGCCACCTCCTTGGTCCCTTATTTAGAAGCTGGCTGATATAACAAGTCTCAAGTGTACACTGAATTAATCTTTGCATTCTCAAGAGGAGTTCTAGTTCTTTCTCTAATGTGAGATTTATTAGGTTCAGATGTTGAATGTATGGACAGCATTGGGCATGAAGAATCATTCTTCCTGTTCTCTTTAGATCTCAGACTGCCTAGTCACTGTGAACAGCTGGGGGTTTTCAGTTTTTTCTCTACCCTAGGTTTTGGCCTCCTTCAAGGCAGAGTAGCAAAATTCTTCTGTAGTTCCATCTTTTCATCTAGTGTGATCTCTTACCTTTCCTAAAATGGTCACCAAGATGTACAGTGCCTTAAGAATGCTCCAGTACAAGATGTCGTTCTCTTAGGCTACGGTTCTTTAGGCAAGGTAGAAACCTAGCAATGAAACCCTTAATGTTAACGTTAACCCTTTGATGTTATCAGTTAAGATGCTCAGATGTTCGTTTCAAATAAGGTGGCATGTCAGGTTCTGCGGAAAACTAATCCAGTTTCTTCTTCTAGGATAGCAAACTACTTAACACAAGGAAAACGTATAACAGCTGTTGTTGGAAAGTACACAAACCTCTGTCTCTCTGTATGTTTTCTGTTGAACTCCTCATCAATAGCTTTAAAAATAGTAAACCCTCACAAATGACTAATTTACAGGCTATCTGGGGATTCTTTAGCGGCTTTTCAGGACCAATGATAAGAAACTACTTCACTGCCTGAGGTGATGGAGGAGGAATAAGATGTTTTCATCTAAAGGATTTCTGTCTGGGAATGTACCTTTGCTTCTGAATCTTCCCTGTGTTTCCATCTTCAATATATACACATCACAAAAATCTCTTGTCCTCCATAGTTGCTTGACCTGTGTTCTGGCAGACCAAGGTATCAACTGTATGATTCAGCTGCTCCATGTTCTTGGAGTTTGATTCTTTCAAGGTTGACTATTATAGGCCCATTTGAGACTCTACTTCATGCGAGAGCAAGCCTGAGAAAAGAGATGGATGAAGTTCTGCCAGCACAACTTTTTGTAGGCTGTCACTTCTGTATGCCTCTGTGTTCTTTGCATGCCTGGGCTTGCCTTTCCACAGGACCCTGTCATGGTTTCTGAGGAGATGCCTGTGTCTGTGAGGGCATCCACACTGCCCATCACTCAGGCCTAAATGTGTAATACTTGTATTTCTAAGAACTGAAAAGACGTTTTTTCTCTTTACAGAGGAAATTTACTGGTGAGGAAAGTGCTTTTCTACACTTTGATTAAAATCAAATAGGGCCACCAGAGGCTAGAAAATAATATATTAATTATATATATTATATTTGGGCTGCATGTTAGCCATTCTGCTTTTCAAACTTTCAGGAAATGAAGCGCCTTGTTTCTTTCTGGACATCTTCCCAATCAAGTCAAGGTCTAGATTGTATTTCCCAAGCTGTGTTGCTTAGGGAATAGGAATTTGTTCTCTTGGAATTACAGAACTATCCATCAGGGGAATGTCATTCCTCAGAGAACACAACCTAGGGCTCCTCCTCGGTTCAGTCCCTGCGTAGTAGCAGAGGGTATTGAATCACATGGTTAGGAATCAGGAAAGATTGCAGTGTGCAAAGATCATTCATGAATGGAGAGAGAGCTTGTTCCTCCTTGTCAGTTATCTTTCTGTTTATTGTTAATGTTGTAATCTGATTGCTGACCTTTCTTGTCCTACGTGTCCAACTGGATTCTACATTCTTGACGGCTTGGATGCTGCTCGGTAACAGAACCTAGTGCCCTTTAGATGCTTTGGACTTCAAATCCATTGACCCTGGCCACCTTGACAAGAATGCTGGGAATTGTAGTTAAAACATCTGAAGATCACTAGATTGGAAAAAGCCATTTTATAGATTTCTCTGTTCTGGAAGTTTATAATTTAGGGAATATAACATGTTTTATGTTCATAAAGTAACAAAGTGACTGTACAAAGCACTAATAAAAAGCATTGCAAATTTTTCAATATTCACCAAAATATCTGACATTGAAGGGTTCTCATTTCTTCTTCCTGGAAGAATTTTTTTCCCCATGGCTTTCAAATGTCCAGAAATAAAGCATTTCTAGAAGAGAGAAGACACAAATACAGATAGTTTTCTGTTTTTGTTTTTAACTGAATATGGAATATTTGGGCATGAGTCTATAAACTCAACATTTTCCTATCATGTTTTCTTTATCATGTCATAAAGGGAAAGATCACCATTTATAAGCTGTGTGGATAGACTCCTACTTTGTCATAAATAATGATGTAACTCCAAGGCATTTCCAGTCTTTAGGATTTCTGCCCTTGCCAGTACTGGGTAATGAATGATACAGAAGAGTTTCTTTTCTGATTTGCAGCCTGCGATATGAATGTTCACAAACAATGTGTAATAAATGTCCCAAGTCTTTGTGGAATGGATCACACAGAAAAAAGAGGGAGGATCTATTTGAAGGCTGAAGTGAATGGGGACAAGCTGGAAGTCACAGGTAAGACGGATGTGTAGGAGTGCTGGGTTCTCTTTGGAACTCTTGTTAAATTTGCAATATTCCTGTTAATTTTTTAATAGTCTTTATTTACACCATGGCAATAGTATATTTAACTTAAAGACCAGAGTTAACATAGAAAATAGCTTGGTAACAACCAACTAATCATAAAGTACACAGATATCAGCAATAAGAAAGTTCATGAGAATAGTTTACTTTGTCATTGAAACACATGTTTCATGCAATCAGCATTTCAGCTTTATTGATTAAAATTACAAAGAAAAATTCTGAACGAGCAGCAAGATTCCCCTGGACTTCTGGACTCTTCCCCGTCAAAGACAGCTGCTTCCTGTGGCTGCTATAACATTTGGCAGTGTTTTTTCCTGAGCCAAATGTTCTTCTGTGCAACATTTAAAATGCACTTTGAGGAAGGCACTGCACCATTCCATGACTTTTGTTGTTGCTCTTTTAGATCTGCATTTGGCTATATGTTTTATCAGTACTTTAGATGCTGCCATTTTGTTGACTCACGTGTGATTCTTATAACATTTAAGGGCCAGTTGACCATCTTTGCCCATCATACTAAATCACTCTGTAAATAAGTCACAGCAGGATGGTCATTTGCAGAACTACCCATGGTGCACCTGACAGATGATCAAGCTCACTGTGGGTGGTTCTCCCCCTCGGTCCTGCAGCTGGTGCCTGTGTCCTTGTGACAGAACCTTTCTTGTTGTCTTCCCCTCTCTGCTCCAGTAACTAGCCTTTTTTCTTTACTCAGTTTTTCTTCTCATTTTGAAGTCTCAGTGCTGATCAGTTGCATTGCTTACCTCTCTCCACCTGCCTCCCACCCAGAAAGTTGCACGGTTGTGTGGGTAATTTTTTGAAAAGTCAGTCATTTCCAAGTGTGCTCTTCCAGCTGTCTGATGCATGTAATGTCTGGTCAATATCCTTGTCTATTTCAGCTGTCAAAGTAACTGGCAAATGCAGTGGATGATTTGCAAACAGTTGCAGATCTGTTTCAATTACACACAATTGCAAATCACCCATAAAGGTGGGGGGCAACCAGATCTCCCAGTCCATTCAGTGTAATCCTCTTGATTCAAGTGCTGAATGGACAGTTTTCAATGGCTTCCACTATTTTGACCCTTCCTTGGGGCTCTGGGTGATTTCCAGATGTGTATAATTGAAATAGATTGCTTGGGCATCAGTGGAGGGGCTGCCACTGGAGGTGGCATGGCATGGTTCCCAAGAGTGACAGAGGGTTTTTGCCATTCTTAGCAAGTGGCTCGCTAGCCACTAGCTACTCCCCAGAACCCATGCTGAAATTGGTCTCCCGGGTTTGGCAATGAAGCAACCCAAGGCTGGGCATGCAACCCTTAGAAGAACTGAAAAGTTGTTAGGGTGGCTTATTGCCCCAAAATAGGCCCACCTGTAGGTAGCAGTCTGTGTTTGGACATTAGAGCAGTCCAAGGTTTGTTACCCATGTTAGCTTGATGTGTCATGTGAACACAGGGTGTTGTGTCCCCGTCTTTTTACAACTTGCTTACATCAGGGATCCTTTGTCTACCCATCTGGTATAATCTCCAATGTAACTTGCTTTTCAGCATCAAATACAGTCTTTGGTTGAAAAGGGAAGAACTACTTGAACTTGGATTGCATGAGAGCAGATGCTGATTTTGACAGAACACAAAAGCACTTGGCCTTCTTCTTTGGCTTAATGCAACTTTCCACACCTGCTAGTCATGAAAAACAATCAGCATTGACATATACCCTGGAAGACAACATTGCTAAGACAAAGTGCCAGCCCATGGAGGAAGCCTTGTATAGCCCTCCATTTCCAGAAGAGTCTAACGGCCACTTCAGATGAGTGGTGCTTGTCCAGAGGATTGAGGTTATGCCACTGTGCACCAGCCAGGCACACACAACCAAAGGATCCTGCCAGCTGGTTGCAGTGCAGCAGTGATTGATGGTTTGTGTTAAAGAGGAAGCAAGAAGAAAAATAGGTCCCAATCACATAGCGTCAGATCATGGTTCAGTGCTGTGTCTAGAGCAAGTCAGTTTGTCAAATTGTGTCAGGCATTATCACACATTAATATCCTTTACAAAAAAAACAAACAGGTATTTGAAGCCTCCCTTCCTATTTGTACATTCTCTCTCTTGCACTCCCTCCCTCCCCTTCTCCCACTCTTTTCGCTCTGCTATGCTTCAAATTAAAACATTTAGGTGTAGACATCTTTGAGCAAGATCCAACACTGTCATTCCACGAACTCAAGTAGTGCTGGTGGAGCTCCACTGAACCTTTCTGGTGTGCAAGCAGTTGCTTGTTAGATCTGTGGAACTGCTTGTGCAATCAGAATGTGCAACAGCTAGTGCAATAGATGGTCCAGCAGGTGCAAAGATCCTGTGCAGCCAGTTGTGCAATGGGCAAAAGCCTTTGCATCAGCAGATTGCAATCTGAGTCATTCAACCAGTTGCAATTTATCTGTTGCAAAACTAAATGGCCCTGTTAGCCTCACAGAGAGTATAGTTTGTCCATCCTTGATTCAGGCATTCTGGGAAGGGAGAAAGTTAAACATCCCAAATTTTCTTTCCTTCCCTGCAGAGAAATCCAGAGAACTGGAATTTCTGGAGGGAATGGATACGAGAAGATTTAAATTTCCTCCCTGCTCCTGGAACTCTGTAGTTCCAATCTGCATCTGTGCTCTCACACTCAGTGATAATTATTAGTATTATGCAGTGTTAATATATTTTATTTTGAGTTTATGGCTTTTGAAACTGTGGCGTGAAACTTCTGTTACTGCTAAATTTGTATTGACTTCCACTTGGGGCCAAGAGCTTGAGTTGATTAATGCAAAGGTGATGCTATATTTTCTCTAGTTCCTGTTCCTTTTTTCCTGCTGATCTTAGCATTTAATTGAGTGTTACATGATGAAGATTCCTGGAGGAGGCTGAATCAGATTTCCACTTGCTCTTAAAATGTTCTTTTGTGCAGCGGAATAAGGCTTGCCTTGCCTGATGGCCTGAGGCAAAAAGAGGCAGCTATACTGGAATGTTAATATTTTGAGTTGGTTGGTGTTGGGTACGGAGTTGACAGTGTTGCACTGAGACCTTGGCACTGCCAGAGGAACAGCTGTCCACCCACTGCTCAGCTTGCTTCTGCACCTCATAGTTTATATTTTCCCTGTAGTATTCTACTTCTCCTTTTTCTGTCTCCCTGGCAAACCCTAGACTTTTAAAGTTAAAAGAAAGAGAAGATGTAGGATTTTCAGCCAACGTTGTACATACAGAGCGGAGCCCGAAGGGCTGATTTTCATATCCCAGTTCCTAAGTCATTCTGGGTGTGTGGGCTTTTCTCTTGAGTTGCGTTTTGATTTGAGAAACTCACTGCTGGAGGCAATATGTGACTTCTGCCCCTCCCTGATTTCTGATTCTTCCAACATAAATCTGGTGTGTGTGTGTTTCAGTCACAGTTCTCCCCCCAAGACTGTCTTGGGCTCAGTGTCCTTCCAGGATGAAGAGCTGCCACCTTCGAAGAGAAAAGGCAGCCCCTACTGGGAGCAGCATCTCTCCCTGCTTGAGGTTGTGGAATGCCATAGCACCCAGTACCCAGAGGCCAGCCTGGGGGAAAGAGTGGTCCCCTTGCCACCAGTGCCACAGGCAGGAGAAGAGAAAGAAGACCCTCCTTTGCTGCCAGCAGTGAGGCCCTTGCCCACCTACCCAGGCAGCCACGCAGTCGCCCTCTTCATTGCTGCTGGGAGCTAACCTGGCAAAAGCAGGAATGGGACCTTGCTGGATAGCTCAGTGGAAACATGCACCAGTGTTGGCATCTGGGAAAAGGACCAATTCCATGCTAAGGGTCCCTAGGAAAGAGATCATAAATAAAATTGCTGACATCATAATGCCTTTATTACAGACCTTGAAATACAGAGTGTGCAAATCTGGTTGCCACATCTTTGAATAGTTGCTCTAGGGCTTGAAAAGGTGCAGAAAAGCACCGCAAAATGATTACAGGAGAGCTGGTCTGGAGCAACTCCTCTACAAAGAAATATTATAATAACTATTATACTATTTAGGGCAGGGAGTGTTTTGGGGATTCTTCATTTAGAAAAAGGTGTGTAAGGGAGAATGTGATAAGTTTATAAAGATTATGCACTTGTGGAGAAAGGTGTATAGAGAGGGGTTTTGTTTTGTTTTTCCTTATCATATAATACCAGAACCTGAAGCTATCAGATGATGCTGATTGGTAGAAGGTTTCAGGACAGATGAAAAGGTGACTGTCTTTGTACAGCACATAGCTAGATAGCTAGATAAAAACTTTATTGGGGTCAAAGACCAGCTGCATTCAATAAATACATAGATTTAAAAAGAAGAAATTACATAAGATTGTCTATATTAAAATCCCACTTGGATTAATAAATACTTTGACACAATATCAGTTATCTTAAATCGGTGACCTTCCCAGACTTTGTCCTTGTCCGCTTTACGCCCCCCTCCTTTAACTCTGAGCGAACGCAATTTGCACAACATAAGACTGAAGGGAGAGTACAGAGAGTATTCCAAACAAATCAGGTCATAATGTTCTTCTCAAAGAAAGATGCTCAACTCTGGACAAATAAGGAAAGAGTCCTTACCTCTCTGACAGCACATAGGTATTAACTGTTAAATTCACTACTTCATGAAGTGGTGACAGCCACCAACTTGGAAGGCGTGTAGACCAGGATGCCTCAGTTTCTGGAACATTTGGGAAACAGCTCATTGCTGCTATATTCAAAGCAGGGGACTCTGGTTGCCTTTAGGTACCCAGAAAACTGAAATTCAGTGAACAAAGTAGCGCAAGGCACACTGATTATTGGAACAATTGGAAAGAGGCATCTTTGCAGTCAGCAGTGAAAGCCTGAGGCATTTTTGTCGCAGTGATAGATCAAACGTGGGGTGAGCCAAACTGCTCATGAAGTGGAATGTTGGACTCTGGGAGTTTGGTTCCTGCTCCACACACTTGAATC